GAGAAGCTAATAAACGCTTTTTACGAGTATTAGAAGCCTAGAAAATCAATGAATAATAAAGCCTATAGAGGTCTAGATATTAGAGGGCTTAAAAGGTTAAAAAATAAGGGTAGCCTAAAGGGCTTAAAAACGCTAAAAACGTAAAAAGCGCTTAAATTAATGAAAAAGGCTATAATTAACTAAAGTATAAGTTAAATTACGTGAAGCAAGTAGTCGCGTTATTTATCTAATTAATCTATAAGAATATTTACCCTTAAAGGGACTCTTTTATTCTAGATTCTAGGTTAAATATATATATTTATAATAACCTTAATTAATTTACCGACTATTAAGTCCTTTAATAGCTTAAAGAAGCCTTTATAAGCGATATAAAAGTATAGGTTAAATTACGTGAAGTAAGTAGCCGCGTTATTTATTTAATTAATCTATAAGAATATTTACCCTTTAAGGGACTCTTTTATCCTAGATTTTAGGTTAAATATACATATTTATAATAACCTTAATTAATTTACTAACTATTAAGTCCTTTAGTAGCTTAAAGAAGCCTTTATAAGCGATATAAAGCTTTAAATTAAAGGCTATAAAAAGGTCTCTTTATAAATATAAATAAGGCTTTTTTAGCTAAAGTAAGTAGCCTTTCTTCTAACCTTTCATATAAATATAGCCTTACTAAATAGCTTTCTAGAAAAGGGCTATAATTAAAACCTAGTTATAAAAGCTATATTAAAGAATAATAAGGTTATCTTTTATATAAGGCGTTACTTTAAGTAGCTTATTATTAAATTCAACGAAATTTATTAAATTAGAAGCTTTTAATTTAATTTAACGTAATTTTAACGCTAAAAAATAGCCTCTACTAACCTTTAACACTAATAGCTAGGCTACTTAAACGTAAATAGCCTTAAATATTTAATCTAATAGACTATTAGATTAAAGATTTAAGGCCTTATATAAATTAATTATAAAGCCTATTTTAAAGCTAAGGCTAAAAGGGTTATCTCTTATAAAAGCTCTTAAATAATAAGCCTAAGACTCTTTTAAAGGATTTATATTAATATCTTTTAATTTAAGCCTAATTATAATAATAAGTTAATAGCTCTAATAGTTAAAGATAAATTCTTAGGCCTTTTAATAGTTTTTAAGCTTAAAAATACCACTTAAAATACCCTATTATTAGCCCTTTAATTATTTAAGGCTTAAATTTAAAGGTAGTATTAATTAGGTATCTATTAAGTCTATTAAGATAACGATAAAAGCCTTTAAACGGCCTATAAGGTTTAGATTAATTATAAAGGCATTATTAATAAGCTTATATTATCGTATACACCCGCTTAAAACAGCTCTATTAAAAGGTTTAAAGGTATTTTAAGGTTAAAAGCCCGTATAATACAATTAACAGTTAACCTTTTTACTAAGTTATAGCCTAAGATTTAAAAAGCTACTACCTACCTTTATAATCTATTACTATAATAAGGTATAAACTAAAAGACGCTCTTTTAATAGCTTTAATAGTAGCTTTAATTAAATAATCGCGATATAGGTTATTTAAATAAGCCTAATATTACACATTTAATCGCGTATAGTTATAAGGTATATCTAATAACTTAAAAAGCCCTTTAAGGCATTTAAAAACAAGCTTTTAAGATAATAGCCCACGTAAAAATTAACTACCTTATTAAATATAACTCAACTAATATCTTTTATATATGAATTCCATTAAAATTAAAAGTTAAACGAGTTAAAGATATAACCTTTAATAAAAAAACCTTTTATTAAGGCTAAATTCATTAAATTTAATTAAAGAAGCTATAATAGCTTAAATTTCTAACCTATATTAAGTCTAATAATAATAGTAATACTAATAAGGTATAATTTATTATTAAAGTTAACACTTAAAGCCTTTAAGCTAATTAAAAAGAAAGTTAATTATTTAAATCTAATATTTTTAAGAACCTTAAATCTAATATAAGTGGCCCTTATTAAAACCTTTTAACGCTAGCTCTATTAGAGCCTTTTAATTAATTTAAAGGGCCTTAATAGTTATAACGAATTTCTAATAAAGCTCTTAATAGCTTTTATAGTAGTTTTTTAATTAAATGACTTAAAAGGCTATATAAAAGAAGCCTACCACCTAAACCTTAATATTAAAAAGAGCTATAAAAGCACTCTTATAAGCTTAAATTTAAAAAGGCTACTTAAGCTAAATATAATACCTTAATTAGCTAAGAGACCTTTTAACCTATTTAACCTAATTAAATAAAACAGCTATATCGCTTATTACTATTAACTTAAGTGTTTAAATATAAATACAATAAATATAAATTCGTTAATAAATTTAAGGCTTATTTATACGTATAAGGTAACCTTTAACTACCTAATAATAAAGAGACCTACGCTATAACCTTAATTAAAAGGTTATTTTAAACCTTAATAGCTATTATAATTAAATTTAACCTTAAAGTTAAGTAGCTTAACGTAATAAACGCCTTTATAAATAGCCTAATTAATAAAGAAGTCTACGTTAAATTTCCTAAAGGCTTTAAAAGGCCTAATTAAATAATAAGGCTATTATAAGCCTTATATAGGTTATAAAGATTAGCCTTATTATAGTAATAGTCTCTTAGTAAGACCTTTAAGCTACTAGGTTTAATACCTTATTTAGAAGACTCTTATATCTTTAATAGCCTAATATTAATAGTCTTTTTTTACGTTAATAATATTATTTTTTTATACTATTAAGCAGCTTTTAAAGCTATTAATTAAATGATTTAAAAGCTTAAATTAACCTATAATATAAAGAATCTTAGTAAGCTATAATAGTTTCTAGGTATTTAAGTCCTTTAAGATAAGGCTACTTGTAAGCTTTAGCTGTATTAGAATTTCTATATTAAAAAACTAGGTACGAAATTTAATATCCCTAAAAGAGATAGCTTTAAAGAAAGTCTAATACCTAAAAATCAATTAGAATTTAATTCTAGTATTATAACTATTAATTAAATTTATTAATATTAACAAATAATCGGCTCTATTAATTATATTACGGTTATTAGAAGACCTAATATAACTAAACTAATAGTTAAGCTAGCTAAATTCCTTTTTAATCCGTTAAAAATCTATTAATAAGTCGTTAATTAAGTTATTAAATACTTGTATTTAACGCGATACCTAGCAATCTAGTAATTAAATTTAATGAAAATCCTAATAATTTAAAGCTTTAAATAGCTTTTAATACCGCTTTTATAAACGATTAATAAACCTAAAAGTTATTATAAGGCTTAATAATTTAATTATTTAATAAACCTATTAGTTAAATAGCTAGCAAGTAAAATACAGTTATAATGTTATTTACTAAAGCTAAATTATTAGCTTTTACACATATAATTAAAGAGACTATTATAATATTAAGGCTTTTTTAATAGCTAAACCTATAGCTAAATTATTTAAAGCCTATAATATAATATAATAACTTATAAACAATTTAGCTTATTAATAGTAATCTTTTAAGGCTTAAAACTACTCTTTATTATATTAATATTTATAGTAGCTAGATTTAATAAGCCTATTAATAAGAGACCTTTAATATTAAATTCGTTTAAAGCGCTAATAATTTAGCTAATAAATTAACGAAGATTCTAATAGGCTAATAATTTAATTGCTTCGTTAAGTAATTAAGGCTTATTAATATTATTAGTATTATTAAAAGAGCTTAAATTAATTAATCTAGCTTACTTTAATAGCTATTAATAGCTTTAATAGTAAGCTATTAACCTAATTTATAAGGGTATATTAACGCTAAAGGCCCCTTTTAATAGAAAATAGCTGCTATTTATTAGGGTCTCTAATAAGCCTTATAACGCCTTAAATAGCTGCTTTTTAATTGTATAAAAAGCCTTAAAAGAAGGCTCGCGCTACCACCGCATTAAAGCCGGACCTTTAATAGCTGGATACCGTAGAACCCCTTAAATTGATTACTTTTTAGGTGACCTGTTAGACGACCTTAATATCTATAAATAAGGGCCTGTTTTCCGTACCCAGATAGCTTCAATCAAGGACAATTCCACTATTCAATCTGCTTCCATAGCTGTCAACGTGATACTACCCGTCGAGTCACGGGGCAGAACCGGCGAGTATCCCAATATCCAGCCTACAAGCCCGCCCTTCAGGGCATCAAATGACCAACACGGTAGACTTGCACAAGATATAACTAAACAACGAGTGGACATCACAGCGCAGCTCCAAATTCCGAGAAGCAGCCACAAGTCAAGCCGGAAAGCTCCGCAACAAAACAGCCAAAATCCACAGCGTACCCAATCGATGCCAGTCATCATCACACGGACAGCAGGCCAGCAAACCACACAAGTAATTCTTCAAAAGCCTACATATCCCCCCCTCGTGTTCGCCTCCATGACCGCTGAGCAAAAGCAACCCATATACTATACAGTGCCAACAAATGCTGTAATTCGCCTGTGCGCCAAATACAACCCTTCAACCAAACATGTTCCTAGCAGCAAACAAGAAAAAAAGACATGGCCATTCGACGGAATTCTCGAGCCCGCTACTCCATCGATCCGGCATGTAGTTTTCCCCTCCCCCCATCACATCCCTCGTTCCCGAGCCTTCCCCTTCCTGCTCATCTGGCTCCAGACTACTCCTGGGGCACCATTCGAATCTTAGCCTTGGGCGAAGGCTTAAGAACACGCCCGGTTGAGCTAAACGACACGCGCGAGACCTTGCTGGACGCAGTAAGCGTCCGCTTAGCCCCGGCGGGAGACACCACCTTGCCCTTCTTACCAGGCTTGGCATCCTCATCAGCAACAGCCACTATGGTCATGCTTGCAGCTCGCGACGAAACATGGCCAACTCGGCCTCCAGGGCCATTCTTCTTGACCAGCTTCGTGGTAGTCTTCTTCTTGATGACGGCGCCGCCCGTGCTGGCGCGTCTCTGGACAGGAGACTTGTTCGCCATCGTCTTCTTTCCCTTGGCCGTAATGGACGACACGCCCTTCTTCAAGGCCGTGGCAGCACCCTTGGCGGCCTTGAGGCTGGCATTCGAAATGGAACGCTGTACACCGGTGGCAGGCACAATCTTGCGCTTCTTTGCTTTCCCGTTTTCGGCTTCCTCCTCTCCAATGAGCTCCTTCAGCTTGCGCTTCCCAGCCTTGACAGTTGCCTTGACAGTCTTCTTGATGTCCGCCTTGGCAGGCTTCACGTCACGTGGTTTCGGGCCCAGGACTCCGCGGCAGTTGTGTTCACCGCAGAGGCATTTCTGCACGTTCTTGGCGGAGAAGGGGTCAAAGTTGTAGTCGTAGGTGAGTTCATCCCCCGTCATGATGGGCCGGTCTCCAGCAAAAAGAGCCATGCGAGGCTGTCCCGAGACAATCCATTTGATCATGCGGCAATTGGGGTTGCAGCTATGGTTAACAAATCGAGCGATGCTGCCGGTAGTGGCATCAATAATCATGTTCTGGTCGAAACTCATCAAATAGTAGCACTGTAGAAAAGAAAGGAAAAGAAAAAGACGAGTTAGCGGCATTGTCAGAGAGACAGCTCATTCGAGCCATGTGCTTTTTTGGTTTTTTTGCTCTCACCTCATTATTCTTATATTCTTCATTCATGCGGCGCTCACACTCCTCCTCTGTAATAATCTCTCCAGTGTACTCCATGATGATCTGGTTTGCTTTGAAGCAGCGGTTGCTTCGAACGCCGTAGCCACGATCTGGCGTCTTTATCACTTCTACGCCAACTCTATATTTGCCTCCCTTGGAGCGCCGAGCGGCTAGATCGCTGAATGAGCGGTTGGTGCAAAGCTCCTTTCCAATATTGCAATTACCAGCATCACACTCGTAGAGCATAATTCTATTTTGGCAGTTATCACCACAGCCATCCTCGGGCTTGCAAACACACTTTGACAAGTCGTGCATGTGAGGCATCTTGCGCCAATAATCCTTTGAGTCACCAATAAATCGGTCTGTGTGTTATCTTGTCAGCCAATGGGTTCACATATCGCTCTTTTCCCTCCAGGTTGACACTAGTTGCGAGGTACAAACTCACTCTTGGTCATCTTTTTCCATTCATCTGGTTTGGGTTGGCCAGGCGGGAGCGGGTTGCAGGTGTTGAAGGGGAGCTTGAAATCGCGCCCAGCAATCAACATGCGCAAGCCCGTGTAGATGGGAGAAGGCATGGTAGTATTCACGCGGCCCGAGGGGGCCAATTCCGGCAGGCTGGCAAGCTTCTTCTTTTCACTCGCGGTGAGACCCTTGAACACATCCGCGGGCATTTCCTGGCCGGCGTAGAGGCCCTTGTCGAGATATTTCTTGACACGATTCTTCTTAGTGGTGGTGATGGGCTCCTGCTCTTCTTGGTCGGACTCGTCCTCCTCGGCAGGATCTTGGACCTTGGCCTTTTTGCGGGCTGGCTCGGGCGGTGGTGCATTGGGATCAACAAACTTGCCATTCGCCCAAATGGTATGGATGACGGGACGGTCGTCGATGCCGGAGAACTCATTGGTGTCTTGCAGCCGCCGCAGCTCACGCGACATCTTGGCGACTCCCATGTTGACAGCCTTGCGCCCCTTCTTACCCATGCTGGTCAGTGTGGTGGCAATGGAGGACACGGCATTCCGACGCGACGAGGTCCGCAAGGGACGCGGCGAAGCTTGAGCCTGGCGGCGTGTGCGTGGTGTATGCAAGCTCTCGGGCGACCACTGAAGATTCAACGCGTCAATGCCTGCCTTTAGGGCTTTATCTTTATGCTGGGCCTTGGAGGACCCGTCACCAGCAACCTCGATGCTGCCAACCAAGGTGTCTCCGGAGATGGTCCGGCGGCGCTTGTCGGCCACAGCATCGCCATTGGCGCGTCTTTTTCCGTGGTCGGCGGTGCCGCTCAGCCTGGACAGGTTGTAAACGGGCTCCGAGACACGTGTGCGTCGTGGTCGACTCGGAGCGGGAGGCGACTGGCAGGGCGAGGGCTCCTGGGCCTGGACGGGCGCGGCGCGGATAGCATCGTCGGCCACGGTGATTACGTCGTGTTTAGGGGCGTCCGAGTGCTGGCTGTCAGTGTCGGAGAGGGTGGTCGGAGGCGTCGAGCTCGAAGACGCGAGGGTCGACGAGGTGTCGGTCGTGGCGCCGGACAAGCTGCTCTCCGCAAACAGAGACATGGCCAGCAGACAAGAGGACGGCGCGTGTTGCTCACAAAACCGGTGCGCTCATGTGCGGATGCCGCGTCAATGGGCCTTGCCAGCAGCACGGGCAGCCGGAGAAGCAAGAGGAGGTGGACGAGGGGTGGAGGATGAGGAGGATTGGAGTGGTTGTGTGGACAGGCAAGCAAGCAAGCAATGGGCCAAGGTAAGATCAAACAAGAGACGGGCAAAGGCCCAAGACGTAGCAGCAAAGAGTGTGATGGGTGGGTAAAGGGCGTAAAAGGCTGATGGCTGATGGCCGAAAGCTGATGGTCGATGTGGATGGTGGACGGCGGATGGCTGAAGGTGGGCAGCAAGAACAGACGCGCCTGGTGGCCAGGGAGAGACGGGACCCAAAGCCAATTTAATGCGGACCAGTTGACCGTATTCAACGAAACAGGCAAATGCAACAGTTGGTGCCAATGTCCGGTGTGCAGAGTGCAGAATGCAGAGTGCAGAGTGCAGTGTGCAGTGTTCAGGTCAAAGAGTCGACTTTCGCGAAGCAGCAACACGAGACTCCAAGTGGCCACTCCCAAGGCCGAAAAGGATCAGCAAACCAGGGCCACGCATGAAACGCCGCGTCAGGAACACAGTGGCTGCTGGCTCCTGAGAAGCAGATCAGAAAGAAAAAGAGAGCGAGACAGCAGGAAAAGAACAGTAGGCGGTCCCGTTGCGGCTCGCTCCCGGATGGTCGATAAAGCAGCAGCTCGCGCGCGCGTGTGTAAGGAGAAAGAGAGAGAGAAAAAGGCTCCTCTGCTCCCAAGGCTCATGCGAGGAGCTTTGAGCAGAACTTGAAAGATGATGAAGGTCCCCCCGTCCGTCGAAAAAGCGGGCAAACTGGCTGGTCAAAGGTGGGAACGGGATAACGGGATGCCCGGTTATTTTAACGAGGGCTGGACCTTATGTGTGAACAAGAGACATGGACATGGACAGAACAACGCACCTCCGCAAGACCAACAACGACCAGGTCACGACTACGGCCGCGAGCCCATCCAAGTCTCATTGCCGTCCGAGAACCTGGTTGCCTTGAGCGTGCTGTTGCTGAGCATCTCCGGCCTGCAACTCGTCCACAGCTGAATCACCGCCACCAGCTGCCATCTATGATATACATACCTAGGTATATATAACCAGACATCAATGATGCCATATATACATGTATATCCCCCATACATCGACGACTATCAACGAGCAGTCACAGCTCGGCACCTGCTCCTCAGTCCCCCAAACCCGACGCTTGAGATTGCTCTATCGCGATGAAACATACACGCCGTCACCCACTCATTCACCCTCGACGAACATCCGTCTATGCTCCGGCACCCGCACAGAACAAGTAGACATTTGGAAGCAAAAAATCAATCCCCGTCATTTGCCATGCCTCATAACCTCCCTATCAACACGATTGATCCCCCCGCAGCGCCCAGTCCGGCAGTTGGCCACGCGCCTCCAAATGCCACATCGCCAGACGGCACCACCAGAAGCCCTTCTTCACCAAGACACACACACACAAATAAAGAAAGGGAGCCCCAATGCCCATCCCCAGAACTTATCGAGTCGGTACTATTGGCGCCACCGGCTGTCCTAGCTGAACTCCAACTCCAACATCACCCCTGCCTTGGAGTTTGCATCCTCCCGCTAGTATCAAGTTCCAAAGACTGGCGTATTTTATTTATTTTTAAACTAGGTTGTAGATGAAAATAACATAGTCATGTCGCCTACCGGGCTCTCAATTGGAATTGCTCCTGATCTGTGCCTTGTCCTCACCTACCCGACTTGCTGCGGAGTGACAAGAGCCCACGGCGCGCATCCATTGATGAGGTACAGCAAGCTCGTGAACATCCCACGCTTTAAAAACCCCACAAAGCTGCACCAGTACCCTATTTCAAACACAGTTTTCCTTCATAAATTTCACCTTGTTTGTTTAATCTCGTCTCCAAGTGTCCCGAGACCTTGGTTATCTGGACCCTGTGCTTCCATCACCTAGTCACTTGACAGATACAACGCGCATCTTGCAGGTTCAGCGTTCCGAAAAAAATCGAGAGTTGCGGCCAAATCCCCCATGTCAGTTCTGTATATTTGCGCATATTCTGCTGCTCGATTTTTGGGCGGCAATCATCACGACAACCTCGCTGTGCCCCGTCGAGCCCATGCCTCGTCGGGCTACGCCTGTTGATCCTGCACCAACAGGCGCTACATCGCGCCAACAAGGCACAAGGGCCGTAGCTCACAGCAAGATGGTGTGTTTCTCCTGTCCGACCGTCCCCCGAAATGACTAAATAAATAAAAGGACGAGTGTCGAAACAACAAACGAACGACCTCGGTCGCACTCCTTCCCGATGCCCGAGGCAGGCTTCGTCCGCAACAGCACTTGCTAGTAGCCACGCACAACTCCATGAAATCGCAACCCAGGCCGTGTTGCCGGGCATTTTGCGACGCATCAGATCTATATACGGCAATTGTTAGTTCTCGGCACCCCCTATGCATTCGACCATCTCGGCTTTGTAACCCAGAAAGCTTCTTCACTGGCAATAACGTCCATACTCAAATAAAATTCCACCAAGGGGGACAGAGGGCTTTAAACATGTTCTTCCCAATCCATCTTAAGCTTCAGTGTTTCTCTGGCAGCAATGCAGTCCATGTCTTTCTGGACAGTGAACTCATCGCTCGCATCCTCCGCAGCAAAAAGGGCCCATACCCGAGTGACCATCGTCATGGACTCATGACACACGCCACCAGTCGACACCGCGACATGGCCGAGTAATCGAATCTATTCCACTACCAAAACAACTCCCAGGTTCTCAACTCTGATTCAGCTCAGAAACATCTCTTCATGAAGCCGCTTTATTCGTAGCACAGTCAAACTATATACATCTACCTCCTCGTGTTCTAATCTAGTATCGGCCCGCTACGAGTTCCCTCCACACATCTCCCTTCCCGAGATTTCAAAACTGCACCATGTGCCCATGAGTGCAACTTGTACACCGCCCAAACCAGAAACAAGCCAAACACCAACTTCTGCAATAGAGTCTTAGCAATACTGTTTACCAATATGTCATTCACAAGCAGCCGCATGGCACGTGGACTCTGCAACAGGGGCGAAGCATCCGATAGAACAATGCTACGAAGCAGAAAATGGCCCTCTGGGCACCTTCAACAGCATGACACAAGGTGGCTATAGAACATGACGTCTAAATAATATAATCTATCTAATTGTCCGGCACAATTAAACAAGTGCCGAGAATAGACATTCGCTTGCGCGCTCGTCCCGAAGCTAAACAGCAGGTCGAACCAGACTGCACCTCCAGTCCTGCTCCCACCATCTTGACACCCAAGGGCAGCCGGGTAAGTCGCGCATCGCTGTGGAATCCACATCTATCTTCCAAACAAATCGGGAAAGGGTATTATCTCCATCCAAACAAGGACCGCTAAGTCATCACCTACAACAAACGTCAAGAGGATAAGTCGCCTTATCTCCACCAGTCAGCATCTAGGCGGCAGTCTCCTTCTCTGTCACCTCATCCGTGGCCTTGGGGTCAACGTCAGCGGCAGGTGTAACGTCAGGCTTAGCCTCAGGCTCGGCAGCGGGAGCCTCAGCAGCGGGAGCAGCGTCGACCTTCTTCTCCTCTGCCTTTGGTGTCAAATCAACCAGCTTGACAGTTTCGCCTTCTTTCACACTGGGGCCCCGGCCGCCATACTCCTTGGGAAGAGAGGCTGAAATGCCTGGCAACTCAGTGGCGAGAGTGGTACCCGAGGCCATGGGATGGAACTTGCGCAATGTGGCAGCGGGCAGGAACATCTTCATAAAGCCATACACCCAGCCCATGAAGGCTGGCACATTGACAAAGTACTTGTGGGCAAGTAGTTCCGGATACGCCATGGAGAAGGTCTCGATGGTTTGCTTGCTAGCAGCCTTGACGGCTGGGTCCATGCGGAGGAAGCTGACGGACAGGTAGTCGTGGACCTGGAGCATCTGGTGAGTGTCCGGTGCGTCCAAAGCAAGGGGTTCCTTGATTTCATTGAGACGGAGTTTCTGGATGCCGAGCTCCATGAGCGCAGAACGCCAACGAATGAAGCTGTTGTCTGTTAGCTATATCAAGTGACTGGCAAGAGGTTGGTTGGCTTACTCTTCGACATTTCCAAAGGTGGCCTTTTTGTCTTTTACAGCGCCATAAATATTCCACGTAATGACCGTCTCCTTGTCACCGGTGGCATCCTTGTGAACAGTCACAAAGCCCAAGTCACCAAACTTGTTCTTGTCAAAGGGTTCAGTCACAAGCTTCCCTGGCTGAATCTTCTTGCGCCACTCCAAGGCCAAAGTAAGCTGCTTCTCGGCGGCAGCGACATCATTGTTGTTGGCCTTAAGGAACTTGAAGAGGATGACTTGCGTAGGAGCGTGGGCACTGTCTGTGGACAGATCAACGCCCCACATCTCATTGTGGTCAGCCTTTTTGGTGATGTCAGGCAAACGGGCAGTCAGCTTGGTGAGAGGAGTTTCGGTGGCAGAGGGAGTCGCAGCATCAGTGACAGCAGTCTCAGTGGCGGTTTCGGTGGCAGTCTCGGTGGCAGTCTCGGTGCCCATATCGCCAGCAGCCTGGGCCGCAGCCACGGGCTCAGTGGCGGGAGTTTGCTCGGCAGACATGGTGATGTTGCGTGACACTAACGCTGACGGTGGCGTGTTAGGAATGAAGACCGTGGATGTATATCAGCGAGGTGGCAGATAGGCAGGCGGATGCTAAAAACGGTGCTCCATAAGATATATACGCCGTTCAGAAGGGCTGGGTCGCTGGAAATGCAAAAGGCAAAAAGGTATGGGGATGAGAAGAAGGAAGAAAAGGCAGAGAGAAGAAATAGATTGGCGTTTGACCAGGAGATGGTTTGATGACACCAACCTTGGAAGGTACGGAGTACCGGCAGTACCAGCCCGTGTACATCTGCACACCTGCCCATCTGTGTGCATGCTTCAGGTATCCCCGTACCTGGCGGGGGAAGCTTCTGTGGGTCAGCCATGCCCAGGGGTGAGTGCGACCCAGACGCAACATGGAACCGTTAAATTGTGGCTTCATCAACGTGCAATGCTGCGTCGCGGCTCACCGACTAGCCCCGAGCCAATCTCGACGTCCAGTCACCCCGTCCACGCCCATTGCATGACAAAGGACGCGCAATTGACTGGTGCATTTGTTTTTCCAACAATAGAGAAGACGAAGCGCTAGACGGAGCACTTGACGCGAGGTGTCCAGTAATTGCCGAGTATCGGTAGTTAAGTCGGGCACGGGTGACATCAGTTGATGCGTTACCCGTCCTCCTTCGCACTGTTCCAGTCGCTACCACCTTCTTTAATGGAATTACGCCCCATCACCGTCATCTTAATACCCAAGAAGCAGCAGCTATGCCATCATCTAGTTTCATTCATTTGCCAAAAGAGATACTACTACTGTAGAGCAAGTGCAATCCTGTTCCCGACTCTGACTATCGCAGCCTAGTTGGCAGAAATCCTTGCTTCATGCTCCCCCAGAGGCCAATCATCGTGGCCAAATCACTGTAGGACAAACCCGTGCCGATACATCCTCCCAGGTGCAATAGCATAACTCCTCGAGACCCATACGGCAGCCATTTTCTCAAAATGCCCAAGTTTTCCGGGGTGATAAAGCCCAGCACCATCGTAAAATTTCAAGGGCCAAGATTTTTGTCACAACACCACAACCCAATGTGTTCCCAAATCCTGCGATATCCTTAAGTCCCCATTGTCCAGAAACTTACCAATTAGTCATCCCAACAAGACCCCGTCTCCGATGGTTTGTATACAAGCCACTACTGGGGAGTCAGCGCGCGAGCGAGGATGCGCTCAACGGCAGTGAATTCTGCATGAGCTGCCTGCGACAAAGTCATTTGGTCAAACGCAGGTCCAAACATGTAGCCAACTTCAGCCCAAAAGTATCCCCAGTACATGTCAGTCTCCTGAGCCTTTTCCAGGAGGATAGTGCGTTCCACGTGCGGGCGGGCCACCATGTCGCGATGTGTCTGCTCGCGGATCATGGCAATGTACCACTGCGATGGCGTTAGTGTTGACCGGACGCAAAAAGCTGGTCGATGGAGAAAACATACTTCAATCACATCAAGTGGCATGCCTGGTTTTGGAGCAAGGCTGTACTGATGACGCCAGCAGCTCGCAAATCGTGGCTGGTTGTATCGGCGCTCTTCCATATCGGACAAGTTGGCCAGACAGGAAATATCGTCCTTCATGAGGGGTGTAAAGCCAGGGCATTTCATGGCAGTGGCTATAAGCCGCCGGTAAAGCTGGTGCGTCAGGTTGACTTGGTCATCCTGCTTCTGGATGCTACGGGAGAGCAGTCGAGCGAGTTCGCAGGTGGCCTTGAATACAGCCTGCCTCTGGCTGATGGTAATGCGATCCGTGACATACCAAGGGAACTTCTTCAGGGTACTGATCAAACATTCGTAGGGACGCTGTGGGCAGTCTTTGGAGAATGGAGACTGCAACAAGGAAGGGATCAGTGAGGGACCAATAACCGAAATTACAACGAGACTCACGCGATGAGGGACCTCGACATGTTTCACGAGCATAATCATCTCTTCTTCCGACACGAAGCCTTTGAAATTTTCCCACGGTTCGTTGGGATTGAGCGGCTTGAACTGAGGAGACGCTCCGTTCCATATGATGCCTTTGGCAAGAGGAAACAAATCCTTCATTAGACTTTCTTGGCTGGAGAGCTCCACCTCAACTGGTCGATCGCCAAGTCGGCTAACGCGACCGCTGAGAATATTTTGTTGATGCTTCTCTACTGCCTTATTCGCATCATCGAGGGTAACAAACTCGACATATGCATCCATAGTCTTGCTCGTCACTCGCTCCATGATGATGTGGACAGGTTCATCCGCGTCATTGAGAATTTTGGAGTTTCGTCCCAAGAAAGCAATGACTTCCGATCGTTTCGTAGCGAAAGGAATCTGCAAGCTAGATTAGACAATAACCTCAGGTCCTAGCACTTTAAAACTCACATTCTTCAGCTTCACAACACCATGGTTAGTGGCCACGGCCTGACGAGCACATTCAAGAAATGGGAAGTATTGCGGGTCCAGCGCATCATGGAGCACAGGCAATCCAGATTCTGTAGCCGTTAAATGATTGAGGGGTTCAGAGCGTAAACTCTGGATTTGGCTATGAGGAGACGCATGGCGGTGATCAGCAAATGGCACAATTGCGCTGCTTCCAATATCCTGGTCAATCCCAGGAGGGTAATATGTCGTATGCACGATAGTCTGTGCATTAGCGGAAACGGTGTCGTTTTTTCGAACACCAGTTGCCAGGCTCAGGTCGAACTTTGGCGGCGGTTCGCTCGTCACCGCTACAGAAAGCCCAGAAGTTTGAGGGGCGAAATTCCGCGGCTCCGTCAGTGTCCCAAGTCTGGTATAATCAGGACTCTTCATAGTCCCAGAGACAGAGCCAATGTAGCTAGGTCTGCCGCTGGTGCTGGGGCTCAACAGGGCTGAGGCAGAGTGGCAAGAGTAGCTGCTTGGCAAACCAGTACCAGCTTGGGGAGGTGAAAATGCTCGTTCATTATACTGACCCTGCGGGTACACGTCGTGCTGCGCATGTTCGGGGCTTTGCACCACAGCTGTGTGTTGCAAGTCTTGTCAGCAGGATGATCGAGCAAACTGGTCTGGCTGCGGTTGATAATGATACCTTGGTCAACCGTCTGGGACTTGGTTCCCTCCTAGAGAGCCGCGTCCTTTTCAGCATCGCAACGTCGCACATGCGAAAGCAGTTCGAGTGCCACGCTCCCTTCCAAAGAGCCAGTAAAGCTTGTGGCAGTGGAACAGGTATTTTCGGAGCCACCAACTCTGTAGCCAGATGTACCGCGCGAACACTATAGTAGTTCCGGATCAGCCCAGTCTCATTGAGTGTTGGTATAAGCGGCTAACCTCGCTTTCATTGCTGGAAACGCTGGTCTCCTGGGGAAGCCAGGCCGCAGACTGTGGGTTAAGCGACGTGATGGAGCTCATGGTCAGATTGGTACTCGCATATCAATTCGGCAGGGTAGTTGAGACAGTTTGTGGCCGCGCCGGTTTAGAATTGAAATTAGCAACTAGCTTTTTGATAGGTAGTGTTATGGATTTCCTGGAAAAGGTCGTGACAAATTCGCCAATTCCCAGCCAAATCAGACAAGAAGATTTCTACCCCTAGTAAGCATGGTTCTTTAGCACAAAGAAATTTCAAATGTGACAGAAAAATCAGAGCTAGTGTCCGAGCTCTCAAAAAGTGGCAGGGAACGAAGTAGCCTACCTTTCCGGTTCTCGTTGCAAGTTCTGCCGCGAAGGTAAAGCTGCAGACACCCAGTTGCGAAATTGGGATTGGAGCCTCGTGTGCAGCTTTCGGTTCTCCAGAAGGTGTGTTGGAACCAGAAAGACAAGGATTGAAAGCACAAGGAGAAGTCAGTCAAAAAAAAAAGCCCAAAATACGTTTGCAAAGAGCGGTGTTTAACAAAGCCCAACCACCCTATTGTTCACGTACACAAGGGTGCGTAAGGATTATTGCTGTTTTGGCGCCGACGTTAACAATGAGGGTGGTTGAAGTAGTGGAGAGGTCGCAGTCGCGCTTTAACCTTTGCTTCCACAACGCCAGCTGGCGGGCGGATACTGGCGCGCAGTTACAGCTGGCAGAGAAAAACAAACAATGAGGCTCGAGTGCCAGTTCGTAATTCTTGGATGTTAGACAAGTCTCTTGGTAGTTAGTTAATGCTTAAGCGTCCTCATGCGCAACCCGAAGGCAAGCAGAACATCTGGTAGGGTTAGCAATGTGCCGAGGTTAAGACTCGCGAAACGAAGCGATGGCAGCTAGGAAGCCTCGTCATAACTCGAATATTGCCCAGAGCAGCCCATTGGTGGCTTTTTATAAACTTTTTCAACAAAGATCCTGTATCTTAGTTTGTAAGTGATCAAAAGCTTCACAAGAAAACCAATGCAAAAATGTCAATAAAGAAACGAGTTGTGGTAAGTGTGTTCATTGCTGCTACCAAGATAGCATCATATCTATTCATCGAATTCATCGAATTCGTCCCTTTGGTGTGGAATGATGCCCGGATAAGTTCATTGAAGATGGGTGCATCTCTCCAATCAAGAGGTGAGCGAAGATGCCTGTACAATACTGAGTCCCAGTTCGCCGTAGCTAAGTTTGCTCTCTTTTTTTTGCCCTCCCACATTTAATCGAACTGCGCAAGCGTCAGAGCTGTGAATTTCCGCCCCAAAAAGACAATCAACCTACCGGTGTCAAGAAAGACTCTGCCACAAATCGCGCCCTGGCGTTCAACTGCACCATGTTAGCCGTCGGGAGAAACTCAGAACGGAACGCTGGACGGCGGATTCACAACATACGAAAAGCTTCATTTCGGAGATTTCTTTATCTACATCCTCCATGAACTGTATAATGAAGTCGACCAGCTTGTGCTTCAACATTTCGTCCGTGTGGAAGTTTGTTATTAAGAAGGAGATATCGTATCCCTGTAAGCACACGTTAGCAGTTTCGCGGGAAGCTCTCTTCTCTATCTGTCAGAGAATAACAAACCTTGATTGGCTTTCTACGTAGGATGAAGAAGGACTCGGCTCTTTGTGTCAAGAATCTTGTAAACTTGTGGACCAGGATGTGCTCAATCTCGTCTGCCTGCTTGATCTTGATGCTAATACGGATGGAATTGATGCTGGGTTCGATGAAAACCCGCTCGTTTTCGTTGCGCGCAATCGTCAATGGGGTCAGCAGGACCTCGGGCGATGTCTGGGCCTCGATCTCGGGGACGTTGTGTCGCTCCGCAGTTTGTGAGGCAAAGTTGGACAGCGTGAGCGCAGCAGTCAAGCTGCTACGCACGCACTGGAGGTACGGCCGCAGAGATTGAGACTGTCAAAGGGGAAAAGATTAGACCAGGAGCGATCACTACAATCCGTTCAATCCGACCCTACTCACCATAATTGCTGATAGAGGCGAACTCTGACAGCTTGTGGAGGGATCACGATGGATGACGCCAGCGGTGATGTCTTGAGTAGCTCGGCGGGGTCACTCAGGATGGCTCAGGCCGCCCGTCTGACGTTGCTGCGTGGGGCAGTAGCTACTCCAGGGGCTACGGCTTCTGTGCTCACGTGACGTGGGAGTGTCTGAAGCTGAGACGGTGTACAACAGAGGGTAAAAGTAAAACTAAATGGTAAATATCCCATGATTACATACTGTGACCCTTGGTATCGTGAGAGGGGGGTATGACTATTCCCATCATATAAAGAAAGAATCGGCTTGAAGGTGTTTAGTATTGTCACCGCCTCACCGCTATCCACGCACCCACGTATGCAGCTGTCAAAATAATCATGTTCTGGCTAGACGAAGTCAATATGTACGGTGGTACCGCTACTACGAGCCTGGCCCCTTGCCGTTTCCTATACATGCCGTCTCTCATTTATTCAAGCGCTGTCCAGCCAGGTGGTCTAAGAGCTGCATTTGGTCGGCCAAGAATGCTCCGCCCGCCGGGAACTGTGCCTGCCATCGAAGAGCTATTTGATGATGAACTGGCCAATGATCCAATGGTGTACGATTCAAAACTTGTTGGCCTTTGAGCCCATTGAGTCTACTTGGTTTGGAGAATTTATCCCCGAAAACTACAAAGGGACGCCATCTGCTCATCCCTCTAGTATACCCAAAAGCAGGATCTCTACTTCACCAGATTGTACTATTTCCTTTCACAAGTCAAATCTGATTGTAAGATGTCACACCCAACAACAATGCCGACTGAAAGAGAGAAGAACACACGCTATAACCTGCCACACAAGCTGTCGAGAGCGCCTGCATACCTACCTACGTAGGTAGGTAGGTAGTAGTCCATGGGAGCGTCGCGACCCCTTTTTTTCCTTGGGTGCTCATTCTTTAGGGTAGTGCGCCATCCTCGCGGACCTTGCTCCCGCCATTTGTCCGACGAAGTGTCGGCCGCGAGATGGATACCAAGGCAGACGTCATTGCTGAAATTGATAAGTATATTCTCACAAGACCATTATTCTGCACAAGGCTTGCCTGTCATTGTCCATCATTCCGTGCTTCGTGGGATTCTCGAGTGGTCGTGATTCGCTGGCCCCACCTACCTACCTGCTTTAGTAGGAACTCAACTTGCAACCTGTCCGTGCCGAGTCCATGGCCGCTAGGTACCAGCCGCTGCGTCACGGCTGCTTGCTTGCTTCCAGGCCCAAAGCTTCTACCCCCGCCATCCCCGTCGTCATTCCTGCCAGTCTTTTGCCGCTCACGTCCAGAATTTCCGTATCGCAGGATTGCTCGCTTCTCTCCCCGGAGGATATCTCCGAGAAAGTATCTTTTGCTGCCTGTTTATTGACACTCTCGCGTTCGTCGTGCAGCCATGGCGTCACTAACTGGTTTGTTTACCCCTCCATCCATCGAGCTTCACCGCTGGTGGCAACTTGCTGACAAGTGTAACCTTAGTCGTGGTCAAGCACCAGGGCAAAAAGTACGATGTCGAAATCGACCCCTCATCGACTGGCGAAGACTTCAAGCTACAACTCTTTAGCCTCACCAATGTTGAGCCGGAACGACAGAAGATCCTGATTAAAGGCGGACAACTTAAGGACGATGCCGACATGACCAAGCTCGGGCTCAAGCCCAATCAAGTCATCATGATGATGGGCACTCCCGGATCCGGCGGCGGTGACCTTGTCCGCCCCAAGGATGCCATCAAATTTGTTGAGGACATGACCGAAGCCGAACAGGCTCAGCAAGTCGGAGCTACCCCCGCCGGCTTGGTCAACCTGGGAAATACCTGCTACCTGAATTCGACTCTCCAAACGTTGCGATCCATCCCCGAACTTCAAACTTCGTTGCAGAAATATAAGCCCAATTCGTCTGGGCTGATGGCCGGTATGGCCTCGGCCGACTTGGCTTCGCAGCTGGCCAGCCTGTACGGGAAAATGAGCGAGACGCAAGACGCATTCCCGCCCTTGAACTTCCTCACCGCTCTGAGGGTTGTGTTCCCTCAATTCGCAGAAAAGGCCAAATCGAACAACGGCTATGCTCAGCAGGACGCAGAGGAGGCTTGGTCGCAAATTGTTCAGCAACTGAGCCAAAAGGTCAAGATCAAGGAATCGGATGATGCGCCGGAAATTTCCTTTGTTGACAAGTACATGTCGGGCGAGTTTTCTTCAACCTTGGAATGCGATGAGGAAGAAGCCCGCAATGGTGGCGAGCAAGCCGTGACGTCCAAAGACCAATTCTACAAGCTTAACTGCCATATTGACGGGTCCACGAATCATCTGCGAGACGGAATTCTTGCTGCACTGAGCGAGAAGCTGGAGAAAAAGTCGGATGTCTTGGGCCGCGACGCTATTTATACCAAAAAGTCCAAGATTTCTCGCGCCCCCAAATACCTGACTGTTCACTTTGTACGATTTTTTTGGAAGCGAGAGACGCAGAGGAAGGCCAAGATTATGCGAAAAGTCACCTTCCCTCAAGAGTTGGATATTGTTGAATTTTGCTCGGATGAGTTGAAGAAGGCGTTGATACCCGTACGTGACAAGGTTCGTGAGGTGAGGAAGGACGAAGAGGACATTGAGCGGGCTCGTAAGCGTCGTAAGAAGAACAATGACCAAGATGTGGGTGATATTGCTGGAGGAGCCGGTTTACCTTCGGAGAGGGAGAAGAAGGAAAAGAAGGAAAAGGAGGCCGAGAAGAAGCCCCAGACGTCTGCTGACGGTGACACGGAGATGAGCGAGGCTTTCAAGACTGACGCGGAAATTGACGCAGAGAAAGATGCTGCACTTCTTGCTGCCAAGAAAGAGCTGAACTCGTTGATCGACCCGGCACTTCGCAATGACGACGGTGCAAACCAATCTGGTCTATACGAGCTCCGTGGAGTCGTCACCCATCAGGGTGCTAGCGCGGATAGCGGCCACTACACCTCGTACGTCAAAAAGTCGGCGCCTGTTGATCCCAAGACTGGGAAGAAGGGCGTGGAGGACGGCAAGTGGTG